TATTTGTCTATAAATTATATATGCAGGTTAATATGAAATAATTTATAAAACAAAACAAAACATGAATGGATGACTGAAATACTTTCCCTAGGAGAAAATTATAAATATCCTTCATGAAGCCAGCAAGGAAGCTTCAGAAATATTGTTGGCTAAAATAAATATATAGTGAACTAGGTATCAGGCCCATATCTGGAGCCAGGAAAATTCAAGTAGACCCACACATCAGCAGGGGCTCATCTGTGGGTGAATCCATTGAAAAGAATAACATTTTTGGGGTGCTTGTGTGCTACGCTAACATGAGAAGAGAGGTTTGTTCAAGGCCTGAACAGTTTAAAGCCAGCTGGGCTGCTTCTTTTCAAGGCAGAAAAGCTAGTGCCATCCCTTGATCTCCATCACAGCTTAAATAGCCAGCATTTTAAGCAGTCTGACTGTTGTATTCCTTCCCAGGTGGGTGGACAGGCAAATTGGCACACATAGTCCGGAATGGCTAAGATGGGCCTGCCTGTCTACTGTAATCTCAATTACCAGGAGCATGAAAATTGTGGGCTCTAAATCACTCTTAGCTTCTCAGCAGTTCCCATGCTTACCAGCCTGCCTGTGAGGCAACCCACATGCTTTGAAAAGAGTTGAGCCAGCAGGCTGTTTAATTTGTGACAAAGAGCCAGGGATGGAGAAAGACTGGCCAGAAAAGAAATGCCTCTAGGACGGAGCATAACTCAAGAGTAGAGCATCTGCTTTATAGACAGGAGGTCCTGGGTTCAATCCCCAGCATCTCTGAGTATAGCTGGAAAGAATGCGTGCATGAAACCATGGAAAAGTATAGACAATGCTACCCAGGCAGTATGGACAATGCTGTGATATGACTTGGGGTCAAGCAAATTCATATGTTCCTTAGCTATTTAAATTGTGATAGATGACAACCCAGGATGCTGTGCGTGCTGTGTGTCTGTGTGCCATGACTGTAACAACTGCCAAGGAATCTCCCTGCTGAACACTGTGGGGAAAGTCTTAACCCGTGTGGTTATCAACAGATTACAGTCACTTGCTGGCAGCGTCTACGCTGAGTCACAATGTGGCTTTAGAGGTCA